GAACTCTACATTCCTAAGAAATTGATGAGAAATCGGAACGATAGGTACTCATGGAACTTCACGGAAAGAAAACAATGTCTTCACTCATATAGTAACGAGCTTTCGGATGACAATTTCAGGTCCCTCCTCAATGTAGTTCTATCAGTTTGGAGGATGAACATTCATGCTGTAAAGTGTAATTGGACACAGGATACTCTAGCCACAACTTCTTGGGATATTATGGAAATCTATTCTAAAGTGACTATATTTTGTCCAAAGGTAAACTGTGGATTGTTTGGTTCAGGTGGAGGATTTGTAAACCAGAACAGACTATTGTAGACATGATCTTTTTATAACAACGACTAGCGTAAACAAGTAAACATGTATTAAGGTGAGCATCAAAAACACTTCATTCTCGCTTTTTTTCGCGTTCTAGAAGTGTTTGAGATCTTGTCAGTGGTTGGGATTTGCGACTTCGTTCAATTTTTCTCCTAAGATTCAGAATGAAAGAAAAACTAGTTTTAGCAACGAAGTAAAGTCATCGTATCGTGAGTCTTCCAACTTATATGACACGATATTTATGAAAATGTAGTCGAGTGATATTTCGCTTTGTGCGGTTTAATCCGTAATGATGCCATAAACAGAAAAAGAAGAAGTTTGTGGGATGTACCCAGCTCTCACTATTTTGTGGAATGTCTTGTTCTCTAACAATATTTAGCTTGAGTAGCCCTTGATCATGATAACAGAACATTGCATAAGGAGCGACTTTGCGAGAATGTGGGTTTCAAAAAAGGTCGTAACTGCGGAAAGGTCACAGAGGTGTTGCAAGAGCACAAAAATTTTCTTTTTATCGATTTAGAAAAATGCTTTCAGTTCGGTCGAGTGAAAAGCGTCCCGAGACGCTCTCAGCTTCAAGCATAAAGATCTTAGCTAAAAAAACTGAACAGCAAAAACTTTGAAAAATTGTTACTGCTCAGTTTCACTCATGCACTTTATATAAATCTCGAGATAGAACCCGTGGTCAAGCTATAGTTGACAGGTGATTATGAATGAACAACAAAAAGTAGTGAAGCATCACCTTTACCAATGTTTCCGTGAGCAAAGAAGCTCCACTCTAGTTATTCACAAGACGTGGCGTGCAGGAGGTTCAGGAGCTGATAAGATGATCAGACTATTCGTCAGTGTCAAAGATATGAGTTTGTAGTAATCTCTCTTCAGTTAGGTCTTGAGATGGCCTTAAAGCTAGCTGAATTTTCTATTCTCAATTGCATAATCGTCTGAAAAGAGTTCACATGTCAATACTGATAAATGAACAACTGATGGGTCAAGTGGCAAAGCAGCAGCTTTAAAACCATCTGTAGATCTTCGCCCAAAGTTGTAAAATGAACATATCCCATTATGTCTGTTAATTCAACTACGTTTATAAGACCTCGCTAAGAAAAGTATTCAACTTTATAATATGATAACATGTTTTGAGCCTTTCATGAGGTGTGGTATGGCACTTATACAATACTAAACCGGCCTGGCTCGTCTTTCCAGGCTCATCAGTAGTACGTTGCTTTTCGGTTCGGCCGATCCTTGCAGGGCATTTACCCGTACATATAAAGGAAGTGAGCCGAATAACAAATCACCGCAAGTTAGGTGATAAAATCCCCCGACAATGCAGTGACCAACAGTCGAGCTCGTAGCTGGTAAAGGGATCGGCTGAACCGAAAGGCAGCGTACTACTGATGGAACTGGAAAGGCGGAGCAGGCCTGTCTAGTACTGTATAAATGCCGTACCAGACCTCATGAAAGGCTCAAAACATGTTTTAATATTATCAGATTCAATCCAGTTATATTTTCGATAATTTAGTATCCACTGATGATCTTGTGTCAATGGAATTATCATTCATTTAATAGGCCTATCTTTAGTTATGTGGACGAACCAACAAGTAGAATGAGTTGGTTTTTAGCTCTAACAGTTTCTCAGTTGCTGAAGTTTGTATCGTCTAAGCAACGCCCCTCTTAACAACGTGTCTGTCATACATTCTTTCGACGTTACCACCCGTAGTACAAGCATATCGAATGATTTCGCTGTGCAGTACATTAGCGAACCCTTTACACAACACAGAGGGGCTATAAGCATATATGGACCTTTCGGTTTGGCACGCATTGGGTCTATCAAGAGAACGCTTGAACTGCTCTCAATCTTTAGATGGTCCGAATGTATCCCGTAAAACAGAAGGTTGGCAATGAGTGAGCAAAGGCGCCAAATTTTCCCATAATGTTCAAGTCCACGTAATTGAATCGGCGCTCGCTCTCCTCCCAGAACTTTACTGTGAAAGTATCGGCGACTCCTTTACAATTTGCTCGTCATATGAGGAGATGAGTAAATGTTTTTGATTGCTAAACCAACAAGTCAAAGTGCATAAACTTCTCCACAAAGAAGAAGCAGAAGGAGAACCAGCTCTCACGTCTGAACGTTCGAGTTATCTGTATCATCCCTTGGGAAGAACATATTTCGACTAGCCACAGAGCGTGTGTATAGAAAAAAATGAAGGAGAAATCCCTTTACTTGGAGTGAGAGAGAGCCATTTTCAATGACCACGAAACGAAGTAACTCGGAACAAGTTAGGAGAATTTTAGTCAGAACTTAGGCAAGATTCCGATACCTTGCCTGGAAAAAGGACTATTTAGAGGAATCAGTAGCATTGACTGAAATACTATCAAGCACTCGAAAACGATAGCTAAGTCGTAACCGCTTGTGCTTAACGCAAAATTGCATAATGTCTGTAAAGATAATTCTAAAGATAAGTGGTTCCAAAGATAAGGTACGATCTACTTAATTTTATGCAAAGAGTGCGGACGTGCGTGGATAGCTCTACTAATTTGCGTCGCTGTAGAAGAACATTTAGTCGGTGAACTTGAAGATGAGCCAGATACTCTCTTAGAGCACAAAAAGCAATTGAGTTCGAAGTAGATCTGTAGCGTGGAACCGTCATCGTAATTTGTATAAATTACAAGAATGATACCTTTCATCTCGAGTGTTTTCTTAAAACCACGCTTAAATTTCAATATGCTTGAAATTTCTTCTCGAATCATGCATGTGATCTGTTATGGGCACTGGTACAGGCCAATACACCGTGTTTCGGCCTTGGTAGCCTTGTCAGTTGGGCAGTGCTCTTCGTGCAAGAATTTTGAAATGAGGAGCAGAGAGAAATTCCTTGCTATGATTCGCGTTAACAAATAATATCTCAGACTGATTTTAACAATTCCCATGACCGACTGTCTCTTAACCTCGACATGCTTCAGTATAATTCTTGATTTTCTTCTTTAAGCAAAACACGAGGTGTTACATTAAACTTTATTTCACAGCTGACGTTTCGGCAGTTCGCCTTCTTCGCGGAGAGGTCAAATTGTCTGCAATCCAATCAGTCAAACACCTCCATTACTCCTGCAGAAAAGATCACCAGACCTAAACTTCAATCTAATCAAGCACAAAATCAACTTTCAACTTACTCAACACTTCTTGTACATGTTCCGCTGAATAATTCAAGTGGAAATCACCGGAAGGAGATCACATAGCCCGTAATGCACCCTACCCATCAAAACAACAGTCTTATATACTGACTTAAATCTGATTTTGATTTATTACTACAAAAAATATTGTTATAGAATGTTATAAGAATTAAAAAAGATTATCATTATTATTTTATATACTGACATACTACAAAAAATGTTATTATTGTTTTATATACTGACTCAAATCTGATTTTGATTTATTGATTTTGACTGATTTTTAATTTGAAAAGACCCAGTACCCAGCGATGTAAACTTTGTGCGGTTGATCTTCACATGAATCCGTGGAAGGCTCATGGAAGGCAGTGAAGGCGTGAAAAATTTGCTCTGTTTTCAATACGATTGAAATCTAACTTTTATATCTCGGAATTTTTCTGTTGAGTTATGGAGATATTTGGCTGATCATAAAATCAACTCAATCTTTTGAAAAGGGCCAAATCCCCAGAAACGTTAGCTACCATGACTGAATTGCAGAATAATACCCTCGTGTGTGACACCTGATGCGCTTCAACGACAACCGATGGACGAGAGCCGTTACGGACTGGATTGCTCGGGACATCAAGCGCTCGACAGGAAGACCACCGACCCGTTGTCCGATTTCTTCACGAAAGCTATAGAAGAAAGATTTGATGCTCAGCGAATCCCTAGAGCAAGAAGGATCCACTGGGCTACTCTTGCACGCGATAGGTAAAAATGGGGTGTTGCTGGTACCCGCTCGAGACACTCGACGATCAACGAGACGACAGGTGACACAGGTGAAACCCTCGTGTGTGCTCACTGAGAAAATAGCGAGTCATGGAAGTGCGTTCAAGGCGAAGAGCGAATCTTTTTGCCTTATAAAGCGTGGGCATCGGAAGTCTCTATAAGCACTTTAAAAATGGATATCGTCAAAAGTGGTACGGAGAGCGTGATGTCAGGAGTATCTCGTACCACACATGCATAGGACGGAATTTTGAGTTCCAGTCTAAAATAACTTCCGAGTCGTAGACTTGGCCATATACGTCAAGATATCGATAATCAATCCATGTGGACACGTCATGCGTCCAACAATAGCAAGTCAGGGAAGCTGCTTAATAATCAAATCAACAAGTGCACAAGTAAAATTCTCATGAACGCTGGATTCTGCGATAACTGCATTTGTCATGCGGCAATTGCTGAAGAGGTGACTGATGTGATAGTTGATGAGAAGATATTAGTGAATGACAACTTGATCAACCTTTTCTTCATAAATGTTGAAAAAAATGATCAATCGCCTTGATCTTTCAAGAAGTTAAGGTTTTCATTGAATTTGTCCTTGTTTTAGCTGTTTTTAGAAACTTTATCGATCCGTCTTCACATAGCTTTTTATTTATTTTTATTTTGGCTTTCGTACTCCAGCACTCCAGTATTCTTTCAGTTTATTTCGCAGTATTATGACGTTACATATATATCTAAAAGATTCAAGTGGTCAGCAAGATAACGGCCTGAGATGGGAGTCGAACCCGCCTTTCATCCATAGCGGGGACACGTGCTACCACTACACCACCGAGGCACATTTGCGCCACCATTCGTTCTTTGATATCTCTATAATAGCTATGAACCACCAACCTTTAACAGGTGTGGTTGGGCATGATTTAGTTTTCGTATTTTGAGATTCTAAACGTGCTTTTATGTCGACCTCGATATTCAAAAGCGTAAATTTTTTCCACATTTTTGTCTTGAAGATCATGTTCTCATGCTTATTCGTATTCAATTCATTTATATAAGCTGAAGAATGATATGAAGAAAGTTGCCCCAACTTTTCGTACGAATTCAATGGTGGACATGAAAATTCGGGCATATATGGTAACGTTTGTACTTTTGGAGTAGGGAACAATGAGCGACAATGTGGTAAATTTGAATAGCTTCGTGATGGAGAGGAAGGCACTGACGATGGGGAGGGTCACAGACGAGACGCTATTGGACCTATGTGGATTCAGGGCTGATGATGAAGCGCATATGGAGTAAAACCGCGGATAACTGTTTCTGAGCTTGAGTGAGCAAACCGCATTATAGAACAGCAGATTTTCGCGACCTCGACCGAATGAGGAAGTCTAAAAAGTTATGCACTGGAGGAGAAGCAGGCATTTGAGCGTTGTAAAACACATTTTGGCAGCGAAATGATACGCGTGGTTATTTATAACTAGAAAATGGACTGCTCCGTACATGAGTGAGGTTGTGCTGTGATGAACATTGAACTCTCCTCGTTCGTTCAGAATGACGAGACCATGATGGGATGATAACCCATGAAGAAGGAAATATGTTAGAGAACATTCAGAAGGTTGCCATGTGAAGTTGAATGAATCATTTCTTTACTAGCATATACAAAAATGTGAAATTGTCCATAATATTACAGTTAAGTGATTGAAAGTGCATTAGAAGACGGTGAAGTCGTTTACCTTATCCACTCTGGGTGATACTGATAGAGTGCCTGATGGTTATTTTTGAGCCATGCATGTTATGAACGCTTATACAGTGCAATACACGTGTTTCGGCCATGCAGCCTCGTCAGTTGCAGAGTAACCTTCGTCGACGGAAAACACTCGAAACGAAAGGTATGATATATTTGACAATACTTATCGGTGCGTGTAAAACGTTCGTCAACGATTCCTCTATGTGAATGGGTTCTCCGCCGAGAGTTGGCTCAGATGAAAGGCGCTGTGCAACTAACAAGGCTGCAAGGCGGAAACACGTGTATTGCACTGTATAAGTACCCATAACAAACCACATGCATGGCTCAGAAGTGACTACCAGACGTATTGAAATTTGAGCATGTTCTTAAGAATGCAGGCGAAACGAAGGTACTGATAAAATCTAGGAATTCAGTCTCAACGTTAAGAGCTGCTTATGTTATACGTGGATAACAAAAAGTGATCACAAAAAATACGTCGACCACGGAATCATGGAAACACGATCTTCAGCAAATTTTGGCGTACATTATCAAAACTATCCTACGTAACATCCTTTTTCGAAAGCAACGTGAGTTGGTATTATCGTTTTCTCAAGCGACGGATTTCGTTCCGGTAATTTCACCTTTCTCTGAGCCTCGACGTACTGTGCCAAACCATCTCTAATTGTTCAGTAAACGTTTCCTGAATATGGTGGGAATCAAAATCGAAAATCAATTTTGAAATCTGTTTATAAAGTAGACCCACCGTCGAGTTCCTTATGCACTGATTGATGCCACATACTAGTTAACCTCAAAAAAAAGGATGTGAGATATGGTGCCATGCCATTTGTGTTGTCCAGACACTCGCCCTTTCTAATCGATACTGATTTGAATATCTTTTGAAAGCTTTTAGAGGATCTTTCCTCCGACGTTGTTGACTCGTAGGTCAGGATTGTCACCGCTTCCTCAAAATAGCAATTTTTCAGATCCCGAAAAAGACCTCATTACGACAGCGCTGGGTAGGACAAGCACGAAAATGCTGTTAAATTCTCAGAGCTATTACATGCTGCCTGAATCTCGAAGAACAAGGTGGTGCGATTTGTACCTGTAGTGCTTGCTCACTTGCACGCGAGTTCTTCTATATGGAACTTGATTACATAAGCAAGAAGATAACGTTCGACGTCTCCGGAATGGCTGAAATAAAAAGGCATCAACTATTGCAAGCTGTGTGTGTAACAGGAGGGGACCAGCGGAGTGTCCAATGATGCAGTCTGTTGGAAAGCACAACGTTGGTTCGATCTCTTTCCAACGATCTCTTGCAGTGTATGTGGCAACGCTTTAGTCACGTTGTCTCCACGATTGCAAGGGCGTTCGACTCGACCAATATTCTAGACTTTCATAAAGAAAACGAAATCTGTCAGGCATAGCCGGAACGAGGCTCGAAAATCTCGGAGACCTTTATGGATGATGAAAACGAGGAAACGAATCGAATGGACAAAATGCTGGGATCCACGCAGTAAATGTGATGGATCATGTTAGTATAATAATGAATAAAATATCAATAATAATGGCACTGGCGAAGTTCTATTCCACCTAAATCTTCTATGGACGACCTAACCATCCAATCAGAAAAAGGTATGGCAGAACGTCATCGAACTGGTTAGGACGAGAAGATGCCGCCCATTTGCGCCACAACACCGAAGAAGGATCACTCCTCTAACATGCGAAGTTAGTATAGTCGGCGGCGTTGCCGTTCTCGTTATATTGAACCTGGCTGTAAAAATTGTCTCAATCAAGCAACTAATAATACGAATTAAAGTTGAAATTTCAAGAAAAATTGAACCTAGAAAAACATATTGACACCCACACGGATTAGAAAGAACTGAGGTTTTGTGAAGCCGTCAGAATATATCATGATGACCCGGACCATTCATAGTGAGACATAATTCCTAAAGTCTTTTCCCAACAGCAGATGTGGGAGTAACTAATGGGAAATCCGGTAATAAAACAGACCACACCGGAGGAAACCATAGGCTTCTATGGCCTTTCTCTGTTTTCACAAATTTGGTACGGGATTAGCTACGTTTTCTCTACGTGAAACACTTTTCACAGGAAGAAGGGGAACCTGCTAAACTCAAAAGAAAATAAGAACGAAAAATAAAACTTCTCAAAATTATCTCAATCATTTACTCTGCTAGAAAGAAAAGGCCGCTATCGAGAAAATCATCCACGGCTACTACACAGATCCCTTCAATAACCACGTCCGCTTGCTGTCGTATGGAATGAAAATGGACGGATTTCTTGTCCCATTAGTTGTGCCTTCTAAAATCTAACATGCTATTTGCCGGTGAAGAATCGAATAACACTTGATTCGGACAAGATGACCGTTGACCATCTGAAAAACCTCACCAGTTCACATAAACACACTGACTCTGCTCTTCATACGTTTCCCTGTCAGAATGCAAGGTTCGTAGCCAATAAAAAACCAAGAAGATCGTATTATTGTTGGGAGAAAAAACCTTCACGAAATCGGCAATTACTGCGCAACCCTCTTGCTGCCTGACATCTGTACGCTTCTCTTGCGAGTAATCACAAGGAGAATTAGCAGAGTACTGCAAAAAAGACAGTCATACAAGGAAATCGACACTTTATTAATCCTCATCACAGTGTTTCTTCTCCCACTGTGCGGACCTCGGTACTTTTAGCGCTGAATTCGTTTTTTCACCATCCTCTGGAACGTCGTAGAATACTGGTTGAGCGAGTTTCCTTGCAGTCTCGAGGATAGCCTGGCTATGGCGTTTCATAGAGCGTTCATTATTGATAGAGCGTTATTAATGACTGTTGGAGGATTTTGCGAAGCGGAGTTGAACCCGCGCGGGCCGCGACGAGCATCACAACCACTCGTCCACGGAGCCCCTCTAAACAAATTGGGTTTTGAAAAGGTTTCCATACGATGAACCACATTCACAAGTTAACAAGACTCTCTGAAGTATCGTGGGCATAAGAGACCGCTCTGTCTCACTTTCATCGACTTGAAGAAGATCTTTGACAGTCGAAATGGAAGCAGTTATAGAAGCTCGACAGCCAGAACACCCCTACTCATTACTAACAATTCTTCGTGAGCTATATAAGGTTTTCACAACCAAAATATCGCCATTCTATAACGATATTACCATTGACGTAAGGAGAGCAGTTTGACAAGGCGATACCATTCCGCCAAATTCTTCATTGCCATCCTCCAAAGTGTCACGCGAACATTTAAGTGGAACAACGTTGGTGAAATCGACGGCCAGCCATTATAGCATATTCGCTCAGCTGCTGAGATCCTTCTTGTGACAGCAAACATCATCCAAGCGAAGTAAATCTTGACCGTTCGAGAGCGCTTGTGGAGATACTAGTCATTGATCAGACATCACAACGACAATGTTCATAATGAGCGAATAGATTTCGCATTCATTATTCACGCTAAATGGAATATATACTACAGTTGGAAAGAAAGTTCTGCGGTACTCTAATGAGCATGAGTTAACTCTTGCATATCATGGGAATATTACATTTTCTTATGTGGAATTTTCCCACTGAAGGCCTAGTATTACTCGTCTTTATTTTCATTTTATTACAAGCCTCTGCCATGTCCATCAACACAGTCGAAGTTCGAGTTTTCCTGCGTCATCATTAGAGAAAAGGTCTTTCACAGCGAGCTGAAGTCGATGAAATCAGCAAAGTTGAAGCGGAAGACACAACAAACAAATCTTCTGCTGGACGCTGGCTTCATCGCTTCTCAATGCCGCAGATCTTGACCTTAAGGCAAGCCTTATTCAAGACGTCCAACAAAGTTGTACAGCAGAGCGTCGATTGCTGCTTTGGAACATGAAACCATCGTCAAACGCTTGGCAACATTTCTGATGTTTCCAACAACTGTGATAAATTATCTCCACCAGCTTAATTTTGTCAACAAAAAGCCAAGACAAGATCTGCACGATCTCACCGAAGCATAAGCCGGCAGAAGAGTCAAAATTTCGCCAACTGCTCAACAATCCACCGAATGACCGATCTGGAAACGGATCTGGATCCAAAAATTAGCGGACCGATGGCAGAAAGTTGTAGGAAACGATGGTCTTCATTTTAAACAACTCTAACTATGTTTTTGTATGGAATTCATGTATAAATTTTCAATTTTTACACGTTTCCCACAGCTTCCTTCCCAACCTAATAATTCCACTTGAGCTCGGTATATGAGGAAGCCGATATGATGAAATATTTAGCTCAAAAGTCGGGGAACAAAAGCTCTTGACGGCGTTTCAAGAGCACCAAGGATGCGGCGAAGAGAAGAAAGAACATCGACTCTGTACCCACGTTTCCTACTCAACGATTCTTCATGCCCTAATATATGCATCAGAAACCTTGTCACTACTCAAGCAGGACGAAAGATCATCTGGCGTTATTGAACGCGCAGCTGGAAGGTTAATGCTATGTGCATGCATTTTCTTTCAAGTAAGGGAAAGGATCCAAAGTACTGACCTGCTTCAACGATCACAGATTGATACAGTTCCACACGTCAGTTTGTAGATATTCAGAATACATAACTACTTTAATGATAATCGTTCGATAGGGTCCGTTGTTGAGTAGATTCCTCGGAATGTCAAACTGTAACAGTAACGCTATCAATTCGACGTTCAGATTCCTTACAAAAAACCATGGAAAAAAGTTATGTTGCTTAACGGATTTCACGTCGTGGAGAACACACGGGGCTAATTCTGCACGCGCCATAATAAAAGAAAGATTTATTGGCGTCCCCAAGAAGCACTGAGATATTGGACAGTGTAGAAGTCATAAAAAAGTGGGCCCCGGGAAATATAGATGTGGTGCTTTTCCACAGAATTGGCCACTACTGTTAATCGCCAAATCCCGGATTATACCTACGAGAATTGAGTGGTGAACAAAAAACACGGCCTCAGGCAGGGATCGAACCCGCGTTTCATCCTTACCGGGGACGCGAGCTGTACCACCACACCGCCGAGGCACATTTGTGCTACCACTCATTCTTCAACGAACACAATGTTGTCTAACAACCACCCACCTTTAACAGGTTTGATTGGGTATGCGATTTCGCTTTGGAAACCTAGTTGAGCTGACAACCATTGTAATAACCGAAGCTCGAGTTTTCTAGAATTTTTACTGGATTTCACAGTGTTATGATGTTTCGTATATACCTAAGGAACTGAATGGTGAGCAAAAACGTCGCTGGCAAGGACGAAACGCGGGTTCGATTCCCAGCTGAGGCCGTATTTTTGCTCACCACTCAATTGTCTTAGGTATATAAGAATCATCATAACACTGCAAAATGCAGCAAAAAATTTACAAATTTGCAGTAAATCAAACAAACATTTGTCACCTTGCCATCTGACTTCATCTTGGACAATTCATTTGAACGTAGTCTGCTACTAATTTATCGACGCTTTAAGGAGGGTGTTTTGCATGTTTAGGAAGCGAGATTGAAACAACTACCATGCTTGAATTCTAGCGCAATTTTAACCAGCACGCTACAGGAATCCTTACTAGGACATGAAATTTCATACGTATCCTTGGACACAATCAAGGTGTCACTTGTATCACCTGTAGTCCCGTTGATCGTCGAGTGACTCGAGCGGGTTCCAGCAACACTCCCATTTTTCTCTATCGCGTGCAAGAGTAGCCCAGTGAGTCCTTTCTGCTCTAGGAATTCGTTGAGTATCTTAATTTTCTTCTATTGCTTTCGTGAAGAAATCGGACCAACGGGTCGGTGGTCTTACTGTAGAGCGCTTAATGTCCCGAGTAATCCAGTCGGTAACGGCTCTCGTCTATCGGTTGTCGTTGAAGCGCATCACGTGTCCAGCCTACCTTATTTTCGATATCCTGGCGTGTAGAACGGCGTCTCTGATCTTTGATCGTTGACGTAGGTCGGAACTTCGGATCCTTTCACCTGAAACATCTAAGCGGTGAGTGATTTCTAAATGAAAGTTTTTCCTATGCGGCCCAAAAATTTATCTCTTACGTTTTCTGCTAGGGTTATGAAGGCCTTCGATCTAATACTTTGCGATTCAGTTCGACCTTTCCAGGCTCTGAAGATGCCGAACCTTGCCGAAACGTTAGCCACTACGACTGTTGTAATATTCGTGCTGCATTATTAACTGTATTGTTATATGCTTCGCTGATATTCAATAAATAATATCAATAACACTTCGGAGCGGCTAAACAGAAGAAGATTCTGATTTATTCAAACTATGCCGAGGTTAATAGATAGTCGGCCCTGGGATTTATTGCAATAGTAGTTCACTTGAATCGTTTAATTTATCTTTGGGGAGCTAATTTCCCAAATTCTTTTAGGTTACTTTCATCTTAGTTAGACTGAGATATCTTTACTAAAGTGCTTCACAGAACCGACTATATTTGAACAGCTTCAGGATCAATATTTGAATGTTCGAACCTCTATAGCGAAAATAGATCGCATCCACTAAGCGGTCTAATTTCGGTAATGTACTTCTCACTTTTGCACGTATGCACATTTATAGGCTCAACAATTTCCAGTTACTAACTGTCATGGATTCGACTATTCCGAATCATTATCCCAATAAGACCATCTATATGAACAAGAGATGCATGATACCCCTCAATCATAGAGACACTGATTGCATGAGCATAGATATAGTCTACTTTTCTTGTAAACGTGCGGCGACGAATATATCGCGAAACGTAAAACCCCTCCGTGTCCGTATCAAAGAACACCTAGACAACAGTGATAAAATTGATTTAAAAGACGTCACTAGGTACTTTTAGGGCACGATTGCGTAAGGATTATTTGAACTTTGAAGTGGAAATATCCATATTTGTACAGGAACAAAAAACTTCAGCGCGCGAAATCTCCAAAGCTTTTTTCATTCATACCAAAAATTCAAAAATGAATCGGAAGTATGAGTGACTTGTAATCACTTGTGATTTAGCGCCATATCTCGGATCGATTTTTGTGGATCCGAGACAAACATTTCTCGCTCTTGTATTATTCGGTGCGACTGGCATACATCCTGACTAGTGGGCTAGTGAATAACAACGTACGGTGGATATTTAATGAAAGCTGAGTACTATTACGTTTCAACCTGTACGTTTTCGTTCATGTTTCATCTTAATTGGTTATTAAAAGGTCATCTATATGGACTGCACGTCAATTTGGCTCTTTAGGTTCTGACGAAGGCGAAACTGTCGAAACATTTACCACGGATATAGACTCTAATGTACTAAGAGAACTGAGTGGTGAGCAAATAAACGACCTCGGACAGAAGTCGAACACGCGTTTCATCCATACCGGGGACTCGTGCTATTCTCAATTGTACTATGTTATACGAAATTAACGTATATTAACAATCTCGTATTTGCTGAACAAAAAAAAAAATCGAACTTAAGAATACATCCGAAGGTACTGATAAAATATTTATGATAATTCAGCCTCGACGTTAAAAGCTGCTTATGTTGTACGTGGGTAACAAAAATTGACCACAGTAAAATACGTCTACCACGTAAATAATTGGAAGCTCGACCTTCACCAAATCTCGGCGTAACTTATTGAAACTATCCTACGAATCATCCTTTTTTAAAACCAACGTGAAGTTGATATTATCGTCTTCCCAAACGACGCATTTCGTTCCTGCAATTTCACCTTTCTCTGAGCCTCGACGTACTGTGCCATACTATCTCTAATTGTTCAATAAACATTTCCTAAATATGATGCAAATCAATAACAAAAAAAAATTTAAAAATCTGTTTATAAAGTAGACCCACCGTTGAGTTCCTTATGCATCGGCTGATGCCATACACTAGTTAACCTCAAAAAAAAAGGATGTGAGATAAGGTGCCAGGCCATTTGTGTTGTCCAGACACTCTCCCTTTCTAACCGACACTGGATTTTGAACATTTTCTAAAAAGGTTTTAAGGGACTTTCCACCGACGTTGTTGACTCGTAGGCCAGGATTGTCACTGTCCAATAGCAATTTTTCAGACCTCGAAAGAGCCCTCATTACGACTGCGCTGGATAGGACAAACACGAAAAGGCTGTTAGATTTTCAGAGCTATCACATGCTGTCTGAATCTCTGAGAAAAAGGTGGTTTGATTTGTGCCTGTAATGCTTGCTCACTTGCACGCGACTTCTCCATATGGAACTTGATTACACAAGCAAGAAGACAATGTTCGACGTCACCGGAATGGCTGAGATAAGAAGGCATCACCCGGTGCAAACCGTGTGTGAAACAGGAGGGATTAGCGGGGTGTCCAATGATGCAGTCTATCAGAAAGCACAAAGTTGGTTCGACTCCTTTCCAACGATCTCTTGTAATGTACGCGGCAACGCTTCAGTCACGCTGTCTCCATAATCACAAGGGGGTTCGACTCGACCAATATTCTAGACTTTCTTAAAGGAAACGAAATCTTCAGGCATAGCGGAACGAGGCTCGAAAATTTCGGAGACCTTTTTGGATGATGAAAACGAGGAAACGAATCGAATGGACAAAATGTTGGAATCCGCGCAGCAAATGTGATGGGTCATGTTAGTATAATAATGAATGAAATATCAACAATAATGGCACTGGCGAAGTTCTATTTCACCTGTACCTTCTATGGACGACTTAGTCATTCAATCAAAAAAGGTATGGTAGAACATCATCGAACTGATTAGGACGAGAAGATGCCGCCCATTTCGCGCCGTGCAAAACACTGAAGAAGAATCACTCCTCATAACATGCGAAGTTAGTATAGTCGGCGGCGTTGTCGTTCTTGTTAGTAAAGCCTGGCTATAAAAATCGTCTCAATCAAACAACTGATATTACGAATTAGAAAGTTCAAATTTAAAGACAAATTGAACCTAGAAAAACATATTGACACCCACACGGATTAGAAGAAATGAGATTTTGTGATGCCGTCAGAATATATCATGATGACCCAGACCATTCGTGGTGAGACACAATCACAAAAGGTCTTTTCCCAACAACAGATGTGGGAATAACCCAAATGGAAATTCCAGTAACAGAACAGACCACATCGGAGCAAATCATATGCTTTAGGCCAATTTCGCTACTTCCACAAATTCGGTACGGGGTTGGCAATTGTTCCTTTACGTGAAACCTTTTCACAGAAAGAAGGGGAACCTGCTGAACTCAAAAAAAAAAAAGAACGGAATTCTAAAACTTTTCAAATTTCATCTGAGTCATTTACTCGGCTAGAAGGAAAAGTCCGCTATCGAGAAAATCATCCACGGCTACTACACAGATCTCTTCAATAACCACATCCGCTTACTTTCATATGGAATGAAAAGGACGGATTTGTTGTCCCTCTAGTTGTGCCTTCTGAAATCTAACATGTTATTTAGCCGGTGAAGAATCGAATAACACCTGGTTCGGACAGGATGACCGCTGAACATCTGAAAAACCTCACCAGTTCACATGAGCACATTGGCTCTGCTCTTTACACGTTACGCTGTCAGAATGCATGGTTCCTGGTCAGTGAAAAACCAAGAAGATCGTGTTATTGTTGAGAAGAAAAGACCTTCACGAAATCGGCAATTATTGCGCAACCTTTTGCTGCTTGACATCTGTAGGCTTCTCTCGCGAGTCATCACAAGGAGGATTAGCAGAGCACTGTAGAAAAGACAGTCATAAAAACAAATGGACACTTTATTAATGCGTCATCATAGTGTTTCTTTTTCATTGTGCGGATCTCAGTACCTCTACCAATGAATTCGATTTTTCACCATCTTCTGGAACGTCGTGGAATACTGGTTGAGCGGGTCTCTTTGCAGTCTCGAGGTTATCCTGGCTACGGCGTTCTCGCAAAGTCGCGCCTTATGCAATGTTCTGTTATCATGATCAAGGGTTACTCAAGCGAAATATTTTTAGAGAAGAAGACATTCCACAAAATAGTGCGAGGTGTGGACACATTCACAAACTTCTTCTTTTTCTGTTCATGGCCTCATTACGGACTAAACCGCACAAAGCGAAATA